CCCTACATATACAGTGGAGTTTTTCTTTAAGAATTTTTTATTCAACTTTATTTATTTATTTTTTAATTTGACCAGAGAGGGACTGAGACAGAGACAGAGAGAAAAGAAGAGAGAAAGTCAGAAAGCAAGCTGCCGGGTCTGGGAGTCAAACCATGGTTGGCCATGTGGGAGTCCAGTGCCTTTAACCACCACACCACCTGCCGGCCCTACAGTGTCTTTTTAAAAATAAAGTTATTAATTTCACTGAAGTGTATCCTGGTATTAGTCATTGTAGGTCACTATTCACCATCGTAAACAATCTGTAACTTAGCTGTCATTTCCTGTCCCCATCCTCTCGGCCCCTGGGAACTTCGTGTCCGTTTCTATCTCTGAATTTGCCTGCGTAGGGGCCTCGTGTGTACACGTAGAACTGTATTGCATTTGTTCTTTATGTCTCGCTTTACTTCACTCAAGAATGGCGTGATGACATCAGTGTTGCATGTGGTGGCTATGTCAGAATTCCATTCTTTTTTCAAAGACCAAGTAATATCCCGTTGATTGCATATACCACATATGGCTTTCTGTTTACAAATATTTATGGAGTGACTAAGTGAAGACCTGTTCTGGTTGGTAATGAGCAGCTGCCTGAAAGAGCCGGTGTATGAGGATTCCACAGGCAGCGTGAGGCCGCGAGTGAACAGAACAACAGAAGCCCCGAACTTCTGGGAAGGGTCAGGTAGTAACTGCGCTAGGTCTGTAGGCATATGTGGTCTGTATTACATACCCTTCTCTGTCTTCCTCCTTTCTCTTTTCCTCTCAGCCCTCTTCTTCCCCTTCTTAAAACTGCTTAGGAGTCTGGCTAGATCTGGTCCACAAACCTAATTTGCTGGTCCCCGAGGTAGGAAAGCCCTCAAATGACCAGACTGCTAATTGGATTGTATTTTGTTTGTAAGGTTTTATTTATTATTTTTTTTTGGTAAGATTTTTATTCAATTGTAGACTCACCTATAGTTGTAAGCAATAATGCAGAGAATTTCCTTGTATGCTTTGACTAATTTTCTCCAGTGGTAACATTTTGCAAAAGTGTAACATAGTATCATAACCAGGAAATTGACATTGAGAGAGCCCTCCTATTTTTTATTATATGTCCCTCACGGATGTTCCCATTGACCCACATAGGGATTGGTCGTTGTGGCTTTACCCCCCCCCCCTTTTTTGTAATTTGGCAGAGGGCACATGCATTTTCTGGAAAGGGAGAGGAGTGAGAAAGCAGCTGCGTAGGGAATGGCCACGCCGCAGTCCCTTCTCCGCGCCTCCATCCTTTCGCGGTTTGGGACACGCAACCTGTGCTTGAGTCTGGTGTGTTTTTCAAGCTGCCAGTGCTCAGATCATGAAGTCGGCCATGTGGGATCCAGACCCCTCAGCCGCTAGGTCAACAGCTGACCGTGGTTATTTTTATTTTGAAATTATTGGCAGAGAATAAATAAATCAATTTTTTTAAAAAAAGAGACCAAAAGGTGACATGGTGGTTAAGGCACTGGACACTTCCACATGGCCAACCTCGGTTTGAGTTTGGCTTTTTCACTTTCCCTCCCTCCCTCTCTTTGTCTCTGTTCAAATTAAAATAAATGAATGAATAAATAAAATTAAATAAATAAAGAAGTTATTGGCAGAATTTCCACATAAGGCGATTGTGAAGAAAGTTTTGGTCTTCAACTTCCCCTGAGTGGAGGGCTGGGTTCAGAGCGGTCTTTCATTTCCTATGTGATGGTAGGTGTCTGACCATGAGGAGTGGTGGGCCGTGGACATGATTACAGGATTGAATGGCCGTTTTCTTTTCAACCTCCCCAGTATGAAGCAGATCTGCTTTGCAGTATGTATAATGTGTTAGCGTGAGGGAAATGTTGTCAGGATCACTTTTTTTTTTTTTTTTTTGAGAGGGTTTTGCTATAGGGCATGTGTACTCACCAAAAAGACACAGAGAGAAAGAAAGTGAGAAATCACCCCCCGCCCTGGAGAGATGGCCACACAGCAATCTCTTCTCAATTCTCCTCTCAGGACCTTGGGAACGCATGCACATGCACCCAGCGTGAGTTTAAACTGCCAGGTCTGGGACTTGAATCACGGTTGACCACATGGGAATCCAGAGATGTAGCTGTTATGCCGACTGCTGGTCCCTCTTTATTTATTTTTTTAAAGAACTTATTTAACTTTATTCATCCATCCATCCATTCATTCATTTTAATTTGACCAGAGTGGAACAGAGTGAGAGTTGAGAGCAAGAAAGAGAAAATGAGAAAGCAAGCCATCAGGTCTAGGGCTCACACCAAGTTCAGCCATGTGGGAGTCCAGCATGCTTAACCACCACGCCACCTGCTGGCCCCCAGGATCACTTTATTAAAAACAATTTTTTTCTTTTTTTTTTTTTTTTGGAGAGATTTTCACTGTAGGGCACGTGCGCTCGCCAGACAGACAGAGA